ATAATTTGAATTATAAGTATAATTTAGATGGGAATAACCTTAACAGTGTCATGAAAGAAAGAGATCTTGGTTTAAAGATCATGATAGTGCATGTGGGTTATCATAATTTGAATTATAAGTATAATTTAGATGGGAATAACCATAACAGTGTCATGGCAAATAGGATTTTAGGTTGTATCTATAGAAATATTGGATATTGGATAAGTCTAAAGAGGTTATAATTTCATTGTATAGGCCACTGGTTAGGCCAAATTTGGAATATTGTGTTCAGTCTTGGACTCCTTATCTTAGGAAAGACATTGAATTGTTGTAAAGGGTTCAGAGAAGAGTTACTAGAATGATGCCTGGGATGGAGGGGGTTGTCATATGAGGAGAGGTTGAAATCTCTCAAATTATTTTCTCTTGAAGAAAGAAGAGTTAGGGGGGGGATATGATTGAGGCGTTTAAGATCGTAAAGGGAATTGATAGTGTTGATTCATCATCTTTTTTAATACTAAACAGTGAGTATAGTAGGACTAAGGGACACAAATATAAATTTTGGCAGGGTGATAGTCATCTTCAGCTAAGACAGTTTCATTTTGCTAACAGGGTGGTTGTCCTTTGGATGTTGTGGAGGTTGTAAATTTAAGTGAGTTTAAGGAAAAGCTTAATAACTATATGAATAACAAGGGCTGGCTTTAAGAGTTTTTTAATATATATATTAATAGTTTTAGTTTAGTTTAAAGGATGAAACAGCCAAAATGGACCAATAGGTCCTAGGTTATCCCAAGACGTTATCTTATAATACTTATTTGCGTTTACGCAAAGAAGCTACTGTAACAACTTACGACCAATGAAGCTTTGCGACTTAACAACCGTATAAGAATCTTATGACTTAACAACCATGTAGGAGGTTTTGTGACTTTTAACAACCGTGTGGGAGGTATTTGTGACTTTTAACAACCGTGTGGGAGGATTTGTGACTTTTAACAACCGTGTGGGAGGTTTTGTGACTTTTAACAACCGTGTGGGAGGTTTTGTGACTTTTAGCAACCGTGTAGGAGGTTTTGTGACTTTTAACAACCGTGTAGGAGGTTTTGTGACTTTCAACAACCGTGTAGGAGGTTTTGTAGCTTTTAACAACCGTGAAGGAGGTTTTGTGACTTAACAACCGTGTAGGAGGTATTTTAAGTTCAAGTAACAAGAGTAGATAAGGGGATATCCCCCTCTAACTACTAACATCTGATGTTCATAAATTCTTCGAGTAGTTTCTCGACTTCTGCATCTCGGATGTGGAACAATAAATATTGAGTGTGAACATTGAGTTTGATGTTTTCCTATATCTGCTCTAATGATTAATTTATTATTTATGATTTTATGTGATGAGTCTAAACTAGATATTTCAGATTTCAGTAGCAACTATTTTTTTTTGTGAGGACGGGCACATAAAAACTTAAATTTTCGATTAGATAGACCACTAACTTAAAATATCCTTTCTGTGGACTTGTTCGTTTTGAATCAACAAATTAAGATTCTACTGCATTGTAAAAATTTAAAACGACTTGTAAGTTCATAAAAATAATTAATAAATAGACATACTTACTCAAGGAAATTTGTAAGGTATTTTTTACTACAAGGTGACCAGTCCCAAGGGTGGCTTTTCTCGTCTAACATTCTTGCCATAACTTTTAGCGCTTGACCATGTTCTCTATGTTTCCTGCATTTAAAATCGTCGTCATGTGGAATACCGAGGCTGCAAAACAAGCATCATTTCGTTTTCTAAGTTTTATAATATGGCTTGTGGGCTTACGGTCAGTTCTTTAGTAGGGTTTGTAGGCCCAGTCAGTTCTCTAGTATGGTCAGTCGTCTGTATGCCCATTCAGTTCTCTAGTATGGCTTGTGGGCCTACGGTCAGTTTCTATAGTATGGCTTGTGGGCTTATAGTCAGTTCTATAGTATGGCTTGTTGGCCTATGGTCAGTTCTATAGTATGGCTTGTGGTCCTATGGTCAGTTCTATAGTATGGCTTGTGGTCCTATGGTCAGTTCTTTAGTATGGCTTGTGGTCCTATGGTCAGTTCTTTAGTATGGCTTGTGGTCCTATGGTCAGTTCTTTAGTATGGCTTGTGGTCCTATGGTCAGTTCTTTAGTATGGCTTGTGGTCCTATGGTCAGTTCTTTAGTATGTTCTGTGGACCTACGGTCAGTTCTGTAGTATGGTCTGAAGACCAAATCAGTTCCCTAGTATGGTCTGAAGACCAAATCAGTTCCCTAGTATGGTCTGTGGGCCCAGTCAGTCCTCTAGTATGGTTTGCAGACCCAGTCAGTCTTCTAGTATGGTCTGTAGACCCAGTCAGTTCTGTAGACCTACAGTCAGTTCTGTAGTATGGTCTGTAGATTCAGTCAGTCTTCTAGTATGGTCTGTAGGTTCAGTCAGTCCTCTAGTATGGTCTGTGGGTCTAGTCAGTCCTCTAGTATTGTCTGTGGGTCCAGTCAGTCCTCTAGTATTGTCTGTGGGTCCAGTCAGTCCACTAGTATTGTCTGTGGGTCCAGTCAGTCCACTAGTATTGTCTACAGTCATTCCCTTGTATGATTTGTAGGCTTACAGTCAGTTCTTTAATAATCGTTTATAAGCCTATGACCAGTTCTTCAATATGGTCTACAGGCTTATTGAGCTAATATCATTAAAAGATAAAAAAGCTTTTCAACTTATGTGAATTTTAAGCAACTGTTCTCAAAACTGAAAAATGTTTCTTTTTATGATAAAATAATCAAATACACAATCAAAATACATATAAAAATATATCTTCATTAACACCCTTGTATTTATATATATATATATATATATATATAA